AAAAAAAAAAAAAAAAAGACAGCCCATCATAGTACCTCATTTAGAACAGAAATTCTGAAAGCCCAGCCAAGAGAGATGACTTGCGTGCTTTTGGCCATCCAGCCATTACCACCATAGCTCTGAACATCGTGACCAGCACGGGTTGCTGGGTTGCAGCACAAATGGGTATTCTGTTTGAGGCTGTGGAGTGGAATCACAGAAAATATCAGTCAATCAATTCTCATGTGAAGGAACCACAAGAAGAAAAAAAAAGATATTAAGGGTAAAAAAAAAAAAAATTGCACGGCTCAAGGAACTCAGCAGATTGAAAGATGCCATTTTTTAAAAGCCATCAAGTGCTATCTTCACATTTGGAGAGCGGTGGCGATTAAGCATGTTTACTTTCATTCAGTGACATCTCTTTCTTGACAGATTTTTTTTTTTTTTTTTTTAGTTGATCATCTCCAATGTTTTAAAGGATCATGGACATTGTTTTTGCATGTGACATCAGTGATGGTCGTAGGAAGGTATAAGCAATGGCAATACAAACCATTAATCCATCCAACCACTTTCTGAACCGCTTTTACTCATGAGTGTTGCGGGTGTGCTGGCTTTGGGCGAGAAGCAGTATACACCCTGAACTGGTCGGCAGACAATTGCGAGGCAAACATAGACCACCATTCTCACTCCCATAAACATCTAAAGACAATTAACCTACAATGCAGGTTTTTGGCATGTGGGAGGAGATCGCAGTACCCGGAGAAAACCCATGCAGGCACGTGAAGAACATGCAAACTCTGCACAGCAGGGCCCGGATTTAAACCCACGACCAAAAGATAATTAGATTAGATTAGATATCCTTTATTTGTCCCACACTGGGGAAATTTACAGCCTTCAGCAGCAAGATTGTGGGTAGAAAGAAGAGAAAAGAAAACACAGTTCAATTAAGTGCAATATAAATACAAACATGGATAAGGTCAATAATTAAGTGCAATATAATACAATAGTCACAGTACTATTCACATATGTTGTCATATCATTTAAATAATTCTATGATTTATTTATTTATTCATTTTTTATTCAGCAGCCTGACAGCAGTCGGTAGGAACGAGCGGCGGTATCTCTCCGTCTTGCAACGCGGGTGTAACAGTCTCTGACTGAAGGAGCTACCGAGTGCTGTCAGGGCTGGCTGGAGGGGGTGGGAGGGACTGTCCAACATAGCTTTTAGCTTAGCTAGCATCCTGCTGTTGCCCACCTCCTCCAGAGTGTCGAGGGAGCAGCCCAGGACAGAACCAGCCTTCCTGACTAGTCGCTCGACAATTGCGAGGCAAACATAGACCACCATTCTCACTCCCATAAACATCTAAAGACAATTAACCTACAATGCAGGTTTTTGGCATGTGGGAGGAGATCGGAGTACCCGGAGAAAACCCCCGCAGGCATGTGAAGGACATGGAAACTCAGCACAGGAAGGCCCAGATTTAAACCCACGACCAAAAGATAGTCCTATAGGACAATCTTATAAGATATAAGATTGTATAAAATGTGTCAAACCCAAGGTCCGCGGGCCAGATCTGGCCCGCCACGTTATTTTATGTGGTCCGTGAAAGCAAATCATGTCTGTTAACTCGCATGATCCTTGCCAAAATTTGTACTAAAAAAGTCAAATTGTCACGTGTACTAAATAATGCTGACACTTTGCAATAATTTTGTTACCCTGTTTAGACTCACTTGAACAATAACTGAACTATTATAGTTGACTGATTTCAAGACCAGTTATCGATTAATTTGTTTTGGACAAGTAATGATGCGATGAGACAATTGAAACGTTTTTGTGGATTCACTGTCATAACGGCCCTCCGAGGGAAGACATAAGTGGCCCGTGACAAAATTGAGCCTGCCACCCCTTGTATGAGACTTTAAATTGTGAGAGCAAGGATGCCAAATTGTTTTTTGACATCCATGGTCGAGTCGAGAAGAGGCAAAATATCGGCCAAAACAGCCTGACTGTCATTGTCTGTAACCGGCCCTGGGTTTGTTAATCATTTAAATTTGAAGTGAACACTGCGTGGTCCAATTGATGACACCTGTATCCTGGTTTATCCATTTTCGCAAAAAGCTTTCAAAGCCAAGATGAGTTTTTCTTCATTCAATTTGACCCAAGTAGTACAGTTTTATCTTCCATCTTGAGATTCAATGCCCTAAAGTAAAGTAAAGCCTACTTTTGTTCACGCTGTCATTAGGAAATTCAAAAGGTGCCACCGGGACAAAGAAGAAAATCTTATATAATTTATTAAATTAGTACATGCGCTGTTAAATCAGACACCCCGTGGTCACAAACTTTTTATACAGCAATGCAAATTAGACATCGAACTTTTTTTTTTCTGTGAATTTACCATCTGTGGATCATCCACATTATGTGTCCTGAGTGAATTCCTGACAGGCTGCTTTCTTTAGGGATCTTATTTTATGCTTGTAATCCTATAGGACAATCTTATAAGACATAAGATTGTATAAAATAGTGTCAAACTCAAGGTCCGCGGGCCAGATCTGGCCCACCACGTTATTTTATGTGGTCCGTAAAAGCAAATCATGTCTGTTAACTCGCATGATCCTTGCCAAAATTTGTACTAAAAAAGTCAAATTGTCACGTGTACTAAATAATGCTGAGATTTTGCAATCATTTTGTGACCCTGTTGAGACTCACTTGAACAATAACTGAACTATTATAGTTGACTGATTTCAAGACCAGTTATCGATTAATTTGTATTTATAATGTATGGATGTGGGCTTCTGAGACTGATTTTCTTCGCCTGTCCCCTTGTTATGATGGGTACTCTCTGCAGGATGGAATCTGTGCGAAGAAAAATTCAGTGTGCAGTTTGTGTAATTGGTAGCCTTAAGTCAAACTTTATAGACAGGACTCATGACTTTATGAGCTGCGTCCTACATTAGAACGCAAATCCATACTTGTTTGCAAGACGGGGTTCATGCCAACAATATTAATCTACTATAACATTTTATGACACATACAATGTATCTACGACATCTATCAACGCTTTTAATTAACCCTCGTCACAATTCCAGTGGTATTAATATTATCGTTATACCCTTAGAAAAAGTGCCAATGATTACTGCCACCATGCCGGCGTTGTTTTCAAGCGTTTGATTGAAAATACAAGATGGTGAGTATTTATAATGTATGGATGTGGGCTTCTGAGACTTATCTTCTTCGCCTGTCCCCTTGTTATGATGGGCACTCTCTGCAGGATGGAATCTGTGCGAAGAAAAATTCAGTGTGCAGTTTGTGTAATTGGTAGCCTTAAGTCAAACTTTATAGACAGGACTCATGACTTTATGAGCTGCGTCCTACATTAGAACGCAAATCCATACTTGTTTGCAAGACGGGGTTCATGCCAACAATATTAATCTACTATAACATTTTATGACACATACAATGTATCTACGACATCTATCAACGCTTTTAATTAACCCTCGTCACAATTCCAGTGGTATTAATATTATCGTTATACCCTTAGAAAAAGTGCCAATGATTACTGCCACCGGCGTTGTTTTCAAGCGTTTGATTGAAAATACAAGATGGTGGCCCCAAAAGACCACATGAGTAGTCTCGGACCGTTCTAAGACAAAAAAAAAAGAAAACATTACCAGCATTCTGACCTTGTGATTTTTCCCTTTACCTTTGTTTGTTTTTTTCCCTAATTACCGAGAAATCATGAGTTGCGGTAAATTGCGCCAATGTCAGAAGTGTTTATCAAACTAGGACCTCTTCTCATTAATCAGCACCCACAAAGTATCTGTCAGTTTCAAAAAGGTTGGTGACTGGTCTCATGAAAAGGATGACAATGTGCGCACATAGGTGGTTTTGTTCTTGGGGGCTACCTCACTGGATTTCTGTGTAAGTTCATGCTTAGCGAAGCCCTCGAATGGAAATGAATGTGGCCATTGTTGTGGGGAGTAGGCAGCCGATCCAAATTTCAACTGCCTGATTTGGAGGCGGGAGACTTTGATCATCTTTTAATAGTGCGTCACTCGTGCAGAGAATCAATTTATTTAGGCAGTAATGAAGGTACCCTGAGGTAAATCTTTAACATATCAGGGAAAAAAAGAGGACAATCACCACGTGGGAAGACAAGGTGTATGACTATCCAAGAGTGTAAAATGTGGACTCACTCATTTTCATTTCAATTAGGTCTGATAACTGCAGCTCACCATCCAGTTGTGATCTGTCCTTTTCCAAAATCTCCCTTTAGCTGGATCTGGAACTGACTGCCCAGAATTCTCCATTGGTAAAGACAAAAACAAAACAAAACAACAACAAAAAAAAAACTGACTGCTGTGATGTTCCCACCAATTCCACCTACTTTCTTTTCATGGGTAATTGGTGTCATTTTTGGATTATTTCACTTCTGAAACAAAGCCTGATGAAAGCACTGCATCACCTCAGTGCATTGTGCCTTCAGGTGTTTTTCTCTCCCAGGCCTTGATCTCACCTATTTCCACACATTTTGACGATGTGATGTAGATATACTTGAGTTGAGGATCAATGCACTCACAGGGGCCGACAGGGATACCGTAAAACATATTTTACCAACAGTAAAAGAAAAAAAAATAGTGTAGAAATAAATAAATCCACAAAATGGCAGGACGGCGAAGCATGAACTGCGATATAGCGGGAATTTAAATATCTCTTAATGTGATTCCTATTATATTGCCTGAGGGTAAGATTTGTGTGTTTTCTGTTCAGTTCCGTTTGCACTGCATATTGGACAAAAAGCTGATAGTTTGACAAGGAGGCCAAGGAAATGTTTGTAAAAACGTTCTTATCCCAGAAGTTTGGAGTACTCCGCTGTTGATCGATTTCATGATAGGCAAATATTTATCACTTGTCGAAAATATATGTTAAAACCAAGCCCTTTTTCTTCCTATGATTGAATTCAGACACCACCAAGGATAACCCTGGACAAAAATAATTGCCATGTGTTCTACTATGTCTCCAGATGTCAGACTGAGGAGAAATCGAACTTGGCCCAAACTGTTTCTGCTCTTTTCAGGGCCACGGAAAGGGAATGTTAACAATCAATCCCCTCTTTAAGGCTCATTTAAACTGATTGATTAATGCATCTGCTTCTTTGGCTGTGGTTTATTGGACCGTGACTGTGTTCTAATTAACCATGGACTTGGGAGAAAGAGCTGGAGAGCAAATGATGGTAGTACACTGAGGAACATTAGCCTGAAGGTACACACAAAAGTTGCATCCGTCGACTGACAATAATAGGCCCCCAGTTCGTTTTTTATGATACTGCGTCTCTGAGTTGAGATCACAGCAGAGTCAACCACCGGGTAATATCAATAGTATCGACAAAAGAAATCCAATCATAATCAGATTGCATTGAGATTCCTTGAGGCTTAGTCAGATACATTTTTTGGGCCATATTATTTATGAGATGAAATATGATAAAAGTGGGGGAGGGGGGAACGGTGGGCGACTGGTTAGCACACCGGCCTCACAGTGCAGAGGTGCAGGATTCGATTCCGGCTCTGGCCTTTCAGTGTGAAGTTTGCCTGTTGTGCCTGTGCCTGGGTGGGTTTTCTCCGGGTACTCGGGTTTCCTCCCACATTCCAAAAACATGCATGATAGGCTGAGTGAACACTCGAAATTGTCTTTGGATGTGAATGTGAGCACGGATGGCTGTTCGTCTGTGGGTGCCCTGCGATTGGCTGGCAACTGGTTCAGGGTGTTGCCCACCTACTGCTCGAAGATGGTTGGGATAGGCTCCAGCACGCCCCGCGACCCTTTTGAGGATAAAGGCGTTCAGAAAATGGATGGATCTCAGAAAGGGGTTCGTTATTATTGAAGGAAGTCCAATTAAAAAAGCCGCATTAAAAAGAAAAGAAAAAGCTTCATTTGTTAATAAAGCCGCGGCTTTATCAGTTACGTGCTTAAAACAACACTTCTCTTATTTGCGGTTTCGTGAATCATACAGTTGGACTGATGTATATGCCAAGAAAGCACACTGCACACTGAATACGTCTTGACTTAACGATTTCCTGTTTTACAGGTGAGTCATTGGCTGGTAGGACTGGCATTCCTCAAGGGTACTGGAGCTTTTCCTGGGTAGCTGAGGATGAGCTGAGCTTTCCAAACAACTGGAAGCCCGTGTCAGGTGAGTTGGACATTGTTAACCTTGCTCAGCACGATGGACAGGCCCTGCCACCGCTGTCCCGCAAATCCCCTTTGCACCCAATTGGCCGTGACGAGTCGCATCAGCTCACCATCACAACAAATAAACATCTCCGTCTTGCCTTGCCCTCGACTTTATATGATCACAGCTATTCATGCCATGCAATGACAATAGGGGCTTTCCATTCTAGTTCCTCAATGCAAGCAAATCTCAAACATGCATGACTGTGCTCTATAACAAACAAGTCCATGCAAAAAAGACGGTGTTCTGCCTCTATATTAGGAACATCTTGTTTATCATTAAAAATCTTGCCCTCAGATGGAAAGATGAAAGATTTGTAATGATAAAGTGTAGGTACTGCAGGTACGATTGTTAAATGAACACAAATATGCAACGCCTTTAAGCCCCACCACTCTGTGAACTGTACACCCTGGTGAATTGGCCTTCTTTCCGCTCAGGCAGACACATTCGCTGCTCCATGTTTATGTATAACACACTCATTTGCAAGATCCCACCCTCACTCTTCTTTCAAAGCAGTTTTATGAACCTCTTCAGTCGCCGAGTCTGCATTACTTTTGCATTTTCTTTTCATTTTTTTCCCACACCAAAAGAACTGAAAACTGCAGTAAAAAAACAAAGTTCATCTCATTCTTCCGAATAGCGTCGCTTAAAAAGTAAATAATCACCGCACCTGTTTTTAGGCCATGATGAACCTATAATTCATCATATGTTATGACAGGGGTGTCAAAGTATTTTTTGTCGCGGGCCACATTTTAGTTACTGTTTCCCTTGGAGGGCTGTTATGATTGAAACCATATAAAGAAGTCAAGAATAACTGTTGATTCAACCATTGTTCAAATTACTATCATGAGGGGTTTGGTCACAAAAAATGCTTCCAATATCTCTCTTATTTATTACATATGAGAATTTAAAATTTTGTTCGACATTTTAGAAAGCTTCATGGAAGGTGACATGTTTGATCTGCTTTCGCGGGCCACATAAAATGATGTGGCGGGCCAGATCTGGCCCCTGGGCCTTGAGTTTGACACCTCTGTGTTATCATGTAATGTAAAGTATTATGTAGATATGTAACCATACATACAGTTTGATGTGTATATACAGTATATATATATATATATATATAATTTTTTTTAAATAATGTCATAATACATCTTGAAATTTGGTATTCAAGGTGCCGTTGTGGATTTTAAAGTATTCAGCAGAGCAAGAAATGCATTCCCTGTAAGATTTATTTTAATTTTGAGTTACATTTTGATTTGTGTGGCAGACAAAATGAATCATCCTTCAAGGGTTAATTTAAGTGTTACTTTTGATCGACAAAACTTTGCAATGTAATGTTGTGTGTGTGTGTGTCTGCAGCAAGAAGACAGAGGCAAACGATAATAGAAGCCCTGAAAGAGTTCGAAAGAGGAGATCGCATGACCTGCATTCGCTTTGTCAAGAAGACTAAAAAAGATGTGAACTATATATCCTTCATCTCTGGCACTGGGTGAGATTTAAGCATTTCGGACCTCTATGACCTTGACTCAACTCGTTAATGAAACACATTTGTTGCCTTTGCGCTGTCAGTGGCACTTACCCAGTTGTTGTCAATTCAGCTAATGTGCACAGAAAAAGTGCTCCGTCTTTGAGTTGATATATTTTTGCCCTGTTAATTATCTTTGTCTTGACATGATGTAAAGATGTTATTTGGCTTACCTGCTATGGCAGTATCCACACGAATCTTCAGGGGCCATTGTGCATTGTTTTGCACTGTGAAATCACTTGCCCGGTGTTGTTCAGAAATCCCCAACCACCGGTCTGCAGACCGGTACCGGGCCACGGCCCATTTGCGACCGGGCCGCAAAGAGTCAGACCAGCGAGCTGCGAGCAAATTTACTCCATCAGACGTGGCAGAAATGTTTTTGCCAATTGGAGTCCCCCTTCTAACATGGGTTGACAAGTCAAATTAAACACAATCCGCCAAGAAAGTTCAAGTCAACTTTGTCACATGTGCTCTATGTGCAACAGACAGCACAGATTAAATTTCTTTCCTCTCAACCACAGGAGAGAGAGAGGAGCCGCTGTGGTTGCTAGCACCGCCTTCAACAGAACAGTTCGCATAAAATGACAAAATAATAAAACACAACACATAAGACACAGACAGTCGTGAAATCTAAACCACTTTATCTGCATACACTTTGTTATTTGAAGCAGTTATAGATGAAAGATATACACAATAAATGAAATAAGTAGGAAACAGGAGGTAAGAATAACAAATAACTTAGCCACCCGATGAAAGCAGCAATCAATCGTGTCGTCTTTTCATCAGTCACATTCGCAAGTAGCAATGATGCTAACGCCGTATGTAAGATCAGAACTTGAAAATGATGATGGTTACATTTTAAGGAGCATTTATTTTTCCTGATTGGTCCATTTCTTTTTCGCTCACGGTCTTATTTCATTTTATTCCACAGAATAACACAGTTTGAAATTCATGAAAAAAAATCCATGTTGACAAAATGTGTAATTAGTCTCTAATTATCTTTGTTGTCAGGACCAGCGCTTTAAAACTGCCTATTTTTAAAAAATGGTTGCCGGTCCTCAAACAGCATGAACTTGTCTCAACTGGTCCGATGACTGATATAACCCACTCTGCTCAGAAATACTTTTTGCTAAGCTTTCAAAAAGATTTGGGCTCTTGTGAAATTCAGTTGCCTCACGAGGTTAATCAGAAGAGTTCTTCTTTTCCATGTTTAGTTCATTTGGGTTTCACGTTATGACAAAAGCTCGAATCAAACAATTCATCTTTCTGTCTTCAATTCAAGTGGGGCTACAATTTAGAAATATGTTGTACATGCCCCTCCATCTTTGAAAGTCAGCCAGTTTTTGAGCTCACTTGATTTTATGCCTTTATGTGCCAGGTGTTGGTCCTACCTTGGTCGTCAAGGAAATGCACAGCCAATCTCCTTGCAGAAAAGCGGTTGTGTGTTCAAAGACATTGTGCAACACGAGGCTCTCCATGCACTCGGATTCCACCATGAGCATGTCCGCTCTGACAGAGACGAACACGTCATCATTAATTTTGAGAACATCATGTCAGGTCAGCTTGCCAACAGACCTTTTGCAGAAGTGGCATTGCAAGTCATTTGAGAGCATATTGTCTCAGGCTTGCTTTCGAAAATTTTCCTGGATTTGGCTGGCACCCAGTCCAGGGTGCAGGCGACTTCCCGCTCCCTGTAAAATGGCTGATGGATACTGGATTTACCTTTTGTCAGAATGGCGTCTACACCATCGTGTTTCTAAATCTCCCATCTGACTGAACGACATTTAACTGCAGTTCAACATGATGTTGTACTCTCTCCTTTTATGCAGGATTTGAAAGCAACTTTGAGATTGTGCAAACAAACAACTTGGGTACATCCTATGATTTTCAATCCGTGATGCATTACGGCGAGTGAGTACATCTTTCCAGCCATACAAACATGTGATCCTTTTCTATCCTACTCACAAAAGGTTCGGGATATTGGGTTTCACTCAGACTAACGATAACCTTCACAGTTGAACTTGAGCTGAAACAGACCT